ATCAAACTTGCGCCATTTCTTACACGCCCACAGAACCTGGCATTTACCTGCTGAACATAAAGTTCGCTGATCGTCATGTTCCAGGTATTCAGATGAGTTAATGCACAAAAAATGTTGAAGCTTATGCACAGTTAAACTCTGGCAAACGTTTGAATAACAGCAAACCACCAGATGTTGTAAATCTTATGTTGATCTAATAGAGGGTCTTCTGGTGAAACGGTTTTAAATATAAATCTGTAGCGTTGGGAAACGTTCAGTGGCACATGTGCTCCGAGTCATTCTGATCCTTCGAAGTTGTCTACCTATTAATCTAGCAAAGAATATCTGCTTCAACTATCCTCCATTGGCATCTGCTCGGTTCTCAAGACCATTAGAAAGTCAACCCCCCAGTCACGCGTAGCAGCTGCTACGGTCGACGGATTTGTCTCTATTGTTGAACCACGAATTTCATCGAAATACGTAAACTTGCGATTATTATCCTCAAAAAACCTCGATCCAGTTTTCTTTCGTACTTTACTCATGATAACAATGGAGCATAGTAAAGGAGCTCAAATTTGGAACGGTCAAATTCTTCTTGCGGTTCAGTTCTGCCATGGTTCCAGGTAATTCATCGAGAACTCTATCAATCTTTCCTATTGCTCATCGATTTTTTTGTCCTGTGTTCATTGCTTGTAAACATGAAGATCAGTACTTCAAATTCACCATCTGTTTCAAGGACTTCCCATCATTCAGCAGAGCATGAGGTCTGATCATTGAGTCGAGAAACAGGCAAACGACTCGATTATCAAATATGCAAGCGATTTGACTATCCACGTGTTTATTCGAGTGCCATCCACAATGCACTCCGCCGTGAATCTCTCGAGTGCACTCTGCAGAACGACTTCAGAGGGTGTTAATAGTACAAAGTTGTCTGCAAACAACACGCTTTTTGTCTCTGCGTTTCTTGTTTCTCTTATAATCACTTTATGTATTCTTGAATTAACATTTTATTCGATCGAATGTTACGTATCGTATATGATTTTTCCCATCCAAAGTGTCCTCAGTGTCGACAACAATTTAAATTTTATGATTAAGCTCTTGTATCTCTGATTATTAATTTGATTTACAATATTTTTTACGTATTTTGAAAAGTACATTTAAAATAGGTCATTTTCACAGGCAGTCCGTTTACTGTTACCTGCGCTGGCGAAGGGCTAGGTATGGTGACCAACAAGACCGAACAGATGCAAGATGCTCCACCGGTAATACAGCCAGGAGATGAATGTCAGCTCTACTTCAAAATACCTGGTAAGTGGCTTTCATTATTTTCACGGAAACTGCATGTTTGCTTTAGCACACAGAGGTCAAAATGTCAGAACCTCTGTTTAAAGAGTTCCTGATTGAATATTGATGAGGTCAGACGGTTTTAATCTTTTGAAAGTAGATAGACGAGCACTGCTATTTTTGAAGGAAACAGGAGGTCGTTGTAGTAACTACTAGCTTCGTGCAGCCACTGCCCCAGCACTTTCAAAATAATGCATTGTTGATTTTTGTAATTTATTTCAATTCTTAAATAAATTGTCACTTCATTAGTTCTAAACAAATGGTAACAGACATGTAACAGTCTTTATCGTACAAGTTATTTGAACGATTCATGGTTTGGGCACCAAATACAGCAGATGATAAACGGTTTAATGCCACCCCGTTTCTCTGCACAGACTGCAACATCATCAATGCTGCACCGCATCGGGTCTGTGCAGTGAAAAGCGTTGGCATGAAACTCTTTACCCTCTGCAGTATTTGACAGCCAAAACCATGAATCATTCAAACATTGATGTATGCAACTCTGGGCCCAGAATCAGAAATCTGAAGAAGTCTTTATTACAACTGCTGACTTTCCAACTAAATTGCATTGGCCATTTCCACGATGGTAATGTAATATCATGAACACTATCATATGGTTGCTTCCTTGTGTCTAGGTCCACTGAACTGTATGAAAAAAAGCAGAAATGATATGAGTTTCAGAAATCAAGAGATTATTTGGAAAGAGCTGATGCAATGGTCGCATTTACAACATGGTGTATCTTGAACCATGGACGTGGCAATTAAATCTTGGCTAGAAACTGAAGACCAGTGAAACACCATATGGACTGCAGTAGCAGGGTGTAGCAGCTGAAATCCTTCATAAGATGGAAGAGAGATTGAAATTTTAGAGAATGGTAGCTTTACTGTCTGTGTCAAGTTTCTGAATTTACTCTGTTCTGATCATTCAATTCATGGGAACATTTAAAAAATATATATAAATACGATAATATTGCATTTTTGTGAAATGTGCGACAAATAAAGCTGTAGTAAACTTTCTACCAAAGCCAATACAACTGCGCTATGGAATGAATCTGACTTTTAGATTAGATTAGATTAAAAAATTAATTCAATCAATTTTCATTCAGTCAATGTGGGCATGGTTCAAGTCAATCGATTTATGTGTATCGTCGTTTGTACGCACCTCATGTACCACTGCTGTTCAGTTGGCATATGTTTCCTCATTTGGGAGGTATGCTGCTTGTACGGTACTCCTGTGTCTGTCGTTTCATGTGGTGTTTTCGAAAGTAATGTTCCGTTCAGGTTCACTTTGAAAATGTGGCTCCAATTCAAATGAATATAATTAGGCATCGTCTTTTTAAGATGGTAAAAGATAAGTAAGGAGACTGTCACCTAATTCTTCCAAGTCTTCCTAATGCTTAGTCGGGGTTTCCTTCTCCCTCGCTTTCCTCATTCCTCTTTGATATTCACTTCGACTGTCTCCCCTGAAACACCATTGGCTCTGGAAAAGCATTGGATCTCATTGTAGAGAGAGGTACAATTTAAAATATTCTGCTTTCATGAAGTACTCAGAGATGTGGTGCGAATGAGTAGTACGAGAGGCAGGCTTCGTTACCTGACTGCTTCTGTCTGCAATGCATGTGCGGAAGCCGGTTTCTTCCATTAGGCCCACAGTCAAAAATTCCTGAGTTCCCATGTGACTGCAGTGTTGATCTACAGTGGAACAGGGAGATGGAAGCGACCATCACCTGCAGAAAAATGTCAGCCAACTAGAATAAATTTAGTGAACGCCCTTGTGCCCAATATTTTCGATAACCTCTCTAGTTCTTCGACTGATAAAGGAATGTTCTTCATACAAAATTCCGCCTATACTTCGTTCGAACACATCAATGTTATTATGCTGTATGGCGACCGTTGTTCTGATTAAATACTCTATGCTACGGTTGAACTACTTACAACAGCGGTGGCTTTGACGTATAACAGAGGTAAATTGCCTGGATTATGTAAAGAGTGACTGTGCTCTCTTCGGGTACGAGTGTATTCAGTGGAACCAGTGATGAAGAAAGAAAATTGACCTCATTTTACCGTTTCTCACTCCAGTTTCTCTTGCAGAAGACAGAACATGTAAATGTTCATGAAGCCGGCGTGCAACATGGACGATGAACAATCTCTAGCTATTTCTCCGCATCCACGCGATGAGTTCTCGCCGTCTTCTTGTGCTAATAACCTGGGATGGGCAGCGTACAGGCAGATATGCTTTTGATGAGGAACAGCTATGTATACAATGCAGTAGCCTGTGGTTTATAGCAAGGCGGGACGCAGAGGAGAGCACAAACCGGAGACGTCTTTTTGAACCAGGCGGATGTACCTT